AAGAAGCAAATTCTAAATATAAAAAAAAAATTTTTAAAACTAATTGTTTACTAAAAATAAATAACTTCCCAAATTCCCAATAATTATAAAAGAGGAATAAAATGAACAAAATTTAAATTTTATAAAACTAAATTAAATCAAGTTAGTGCGGACGATGAATCGTTAATGATTTATTTTTGTGTGAATCTAATTTAGAATTGGAATTACAGAACTCGAGTATACTACTGAAAATAGAATTGCAAATCTCACTCGAATTCTCTCCAAATTGACTCATTGCATATTTATAAGGCAAGTTTCCATATTTGAAAATAAATCATTAAATTAAGATACATCAATTTTACTTATATTGTATAAATATATATATAAATTTCAAAATTCAAACTAAACCCCAGTGACATTGTTAATGATATAGTTTGGCAATAATCATTTCTCAATTTCTATATAGTAAGCGTTTAGAGTGCTTTGAAACTGTAAACAAACAGAAACTAAAGGAAATTTCCATAATAATTGGAAAGTAGAGAGGAGTGGATGTCGTTTGATCGAGATTTCCATACTATTGCCTCGAAAAGCGAGCGGGGAATTTTTATATTTATTTGGAAATATTTCTCAAGAATCTGCTCCTTGTGCAGGAACATTTCAATATTCAATTATATATTCAAATTTTTTTTTTCTATATTTTCTTTTTTATTTGTATTTTACTTCTACAATATTTCTACTTTTACATTATTTTTTTTATTTGCATTTGATTTTTATATAACTTTTATATTATTTTTATATTATTTTAATTTTATTGTTATTTTACTTTTATTTTATGTTAATTTTATTTTTATTTTATCTTTATTTTATTTTTATTTTATTTTTATTTTATTTTTATTTTTATTTTTATTTTTATTTTTATTTTTATTTTTATTTTTATTTTTATTTTTATTTTTATTATTATTTTTATTTTATTTTTATTTTATTACTTCCTCATAGAGGAAGTATTGTAATACCGAAATTTTTCGAGTTCGATTTTTTGACATATCTTTATGTTATTTGACCTCAGGAGTTCAAAAATGACATTTTTAAAAAATGTCTTTCCTTATGTGTGTGTGTGTGTGTGTGTGTAAACATCACATTTTCATAAATATCTCGAAATCATGAAGAGCTTTTGGGTTGAATTTTTTTTTTAAATTGTAGATCTCACCTGTAGACATAAAATGAGAGTACTTTGAGATAGATTAATAAAGTTTAACTAAATTTTTTTTGGATTTTTAATTTTGCAAAAAAACGTTTTTTGCCTATAACTTTAAAAAAATGTTAGGACACCTATAAATGTTTTTCCATAATTTTGTAGAGTTTTTTTAGACGCATCTTTTGAGCCCTAAATGAACATTTTTCGTCCATATTAAGTATTAACCGAAGATATTAAACTTTTAAAAATTCAAAATATTGGAAAATAAGACTTTTTTGAAAATTTTGTTAAAAAATGTAGAAGTAATCTTAAAATTATCGTTACCGACTTGTAGAGCTTTAAAAAACGCTTCGATTGATCTATTTTTGAAACTGATTCGATAATAAATTTTGAAATTATTGGTATTTTAAAAACCAAAAATTGTGGAAAATGACATTTTCTTAACTTTTTTGTTTTATTTATTTTCTTTTTTTTATTGTTTTTTTTTGTTTTAATTTTTTTCAAGTTTTTATTGTCATATTTTAATTTTATTTAATTTAATTTTGTTTTGTTCTACTTTTATTTTTATTCTATTCTTATATTTTAATCTTTTTTTTACTTAAAATTTTTTCCAAATTTTTCCACAAAATTTACCGATATTATTATAGTTCTTCTATATTATTCTACTACTTTTCCTACTGATACGGAATATTGCTAATTTCCTATACACATATAATATTTCGAAGTAAATTTCTCAAAGCAATCAATTTAAATATTCATGGAATATTTTATAAACATATATGGTACCTCAAAGGAGTTTAAATGTTATATTTCGTTATATGAAACATAAAAAAGCAAAAATTTTTTAGCACTACTTTAGTAGAAAATAAATTAAAAATATTAATTAATAAATATAAAAATATAATTAAGAAACATAATTAATAAATATAACTTAATAAATAGAACTTAAAAAATATATAACGATTTTACAATTAATTATCTTGTTAATATGGATTTTTAGCCGACTAAAGCTTGGAGTCACTTGAATATTTAATTAAAATTTACGTCTAATATTAGTATTCAATTAATATTTAATACCTATTTAAATTTAATTAATATTTAATATTAATATTTAATCAAATCCCAAAATCCGAATCAGTAAAAATTAAGCCATTGATTTACAATAGTAAATATAATAATTCTTTGTAAAAATTCAATTATTTTCATAAATAATAACATTCTTCGGAAGAATTCAATTATTTTTATAAATAGTAAAATTAAACCAAAGTTCAATTATTTTCAACAAAATTGTAATAAAATTTCAAAAAAAACTTCAATTATTTTCTAAAAAATTTTTTAAATTCCTTCGAAACAATTTAATTATTTTTAATACAATTTTACTAAAATTTTATGAAAGAATTCAATTTTTTATTTTTTTTATTAACATTTTAATAATATTTCTCGAAAGAATTAAATTATTTTTAAAAATTTTAATAAATCCTTCGAAACAATTCAATTTTTTTATAAATAGTAAAATTCATGGCAAGAGTTACATTATCTATTTTTTATAAATAATAAAATTTTTCTCATGAATTCAATTATTTTCAATACAATTTTAATAAACTTCAATAATCAAATATTTAATTATAATTATTAACGGACACGATTATTTTTTAAATTTGAAAAAAATACTTTGTTTAATTCAATTATTTTTAAAATTTCAAATTAAAATTATTAAAAAACTACATTAATTTAAAAAAAAACTTAAAGAAATTCTTCAAAAGAATTTAAATATTTACAAAAACTCTAATAAAATTGTTTAAAAGAGTTTAATTTTCTGTTAATAATTTTACTACAATTTTAACTGTAAAAATATTAATTAAAATTATTAACAAAAATCGATTATATTCAATAAATTCAAGAAATTTTTTGAAAGAATTCAATTATTTTCAAAAAAAAAAAAAAAAAATTCTTCTTATATAAAATTCAACTATGCTCAAAATTTAAAAAGAATTCTCGTAAAAATCTTTATAAATAAGAAAATTCTTCTCCAAAGTTCAATTATTTTCATAAATGTCAGAAAAAAAATTCTTGTCCTAATTTCAATTATTATCAAAAAAATTTCTAATTTCAATGATTTTCAATAAATCTACTATTTTAATAAAATTTCCCAAAAAGAATTCAATTATTTAAAAAATTGTTTAATAAAATTGTATGCAAACATTTAATTATTTTCATAAATTATAAAAATTTCACAGGAATTCATAATTATTTTCATAAAAAATAATTTAAAATTCTAGAAAATAATAATTGAATTAAAATGATGAAAATAATTTTGATGAAGTTACAGTAACAATATTCTTATAATAGAAAATAATGATTTTATCTCTCAGTGATTTGAAATTTTTGAATGTCTTAATTCCTGTGGAAAATCCTGTTCCAAAAATAAGATTAATAATAGAAGTTTTGCAAATATTTTTCTTCCTTTTCTAAAACAAAATAATAAATTTGTTAAAAAAAATTGTGATTCATAAACAAAAATAATGCAAAATAAATCAATTTTCTATTTCTTAATCACTGTTGTTTAACAATTTTCTAATTTTGTTTACAAGTAAAGAACAAAAATCTAATAATTATAATTATTATTAATTACTAATTTATACTACAAGTCCAAAATTCGAATGACAATATTGAGAATAAAATTAAATATCTGTTGAAATAGATTTTTTTTGCCAAAAAAACCACTTTTCTGTTAGTAAAAGTTTCCCTTTGTGTATTAAATATATATATAAACGTATACGTGAGCCGTCAAGTGCTTCCTTTAAGTGTGCAAGGCTCTCAGCCAGGAATAACATATGTGAACGATTTTAGAGGTGAATCAAATTTCCAAGCTGTACCTTTATGAACTGTGCAGTAAAGTTTATTACTTGTGGAACGTCATGCTATCTAATTCACCATAAGTTCTGTAATTACCATTCTGTGTTATACATTGAGATGAATAATATATTTCAAATACCGCACGTCATATAATACATTTCCCTATAACTACAATAACTTCAAACTCTCTTCACATAAAATATATATATACAATATATATAGGTATTCACTGTACAAAATTAAAATTAAATTAAATTATTATCTTGTGTGTACAAAAATATTTTGTCTTAAAATTTGTCAAAAAAAAAGAAAAAACAAAAATATAGTTTTATGTATAAAAATTAAAAATTAATAAAACCAATGTTAACCCTTAGAAAAGAGGAATATTAAAAAATATGTTCTTTTTGGAATATAAATAAGTTTGCATATATTATCAATTAAATCTGACGAATATGGTTGATACTTCAAAACTACAGGTGCGTGCAATGGTTACGAACTTTGAAAAAGCCTTGAGGGCTTTTAGAATTTTACGAGCACTCACTATCACCGTGTAGTACCTATAAAATTCTATTTTGTGGTCGAAGTTATGCCATTAAAATCTGCCTTGCTAATCGGCATATAAATGATGTTCAAATTTTTACCCCATAAAAATGTCTATCTTACATTAAATATTTCATTTTAGCATTGATTTTGCTACTCGACAGTGTTTTAATATACATTCAAAAACATATTTTCCCTTCAGCTCTTTTCATATTTTTCTTTCAATATATGAAAGAATAAATTAATAGTTAAGGTTACATTTTTTTCCATTAATAGAATACATTATTAATATTAATATTAATATTAATTAGTAATAATTATTAATAATAAAATAATAACAGAAATAAAATAATCTCCTTATAGTGAGGATTTTCTTTAAATAAATTTCAGAGAATAAAAAACGTTTTTTTTTTTTATTTCTCTGTTACAGGACTTTGTTACGGGTCTCAGCATACTCTCCCGGGGATCAATAGAGGAAAAACTTCGTTGGACATTTTCTTTATATGATATTAATGGAGATGGCTGTATAACTAGAGAAGAAATGACGGATATTGTTACTGCAGTTTATGAATTGTTAGGAAAATTGTCTGATAATAGTCCAAATCGTGAAATAGTTCGTGAAAAAGTAGATAGAATGTTTTTGGTAAGTATAATCAATTTAAATTTTTTATCCTCATAGAAAAAATCTCCAAACAAATATACTGAAAAAAAAATTTACTATGAAAATAATCGATTACAGACCAAAATCAAGTAGAACAAGTAAAGATTATGTCAGACATGATAAAAAAAAATCTTTTTTTACTTTAAAACATTCAAGAGACTATTTTTAATTAATTAATGAACAAAATAATTTATTACAATTAAAATCGTACGCTTTTGCGTTGAAATATCTTCTAAAAAAAAGTCAAGTAGTACAAGTAAATATTTTGTCAGACATGATAAAAAAAAAATAGAATAGTGTAAAAACACTATCTATTCTGTAGATTAAAAAAAAATTCGTTTTTTTCTTAAAATCATATATTTTTTGTGCTAAAACATCTGTTGACAAAAAATCAAGTAGTACAAGTAAAGATTTTGTCAGACATGATAAAAAAGTAGAAAAATGTAAAAAGTAAAAGTGTAAAAACAATATCTATTTTGTAAATTAGAACAAAAATTAATTATATACTTGAAATTGTATACTTTTAGTGGTAAAGGATCTGCTGACAGAAAATCAAGTAGTACAAGTAAAGATTATGTCAGACATGATTAATATAAAGTGAATATTTAAACAGACATTTTTTTAATTAGGAAAATTTAGAAAGAAGAAGTGAATAGTAACTGAAATTGTATGCCTTTTATGTTGAAACGAAACTACTGACACAAATTAAGTAGTACAAGTAAAGATTTCGTCAGACGTGACATAAATAATCTTTCACTAGTAGAACAGAAAAGACAGATTATATTTTTAAATATAATTAGAAAAGAAAATTATTTGTCATTATTTTTGTGTTGAAACATCTGTTGAAAAAAATCAAGTAGTACAAGTAAATGTCCTGTCAGACAGGATAAATAAGAAAATTTTTACACTAGTAGAATTTATAATCACTAGCTGTATTTTTAAATTAACTAGGAAAGAAAATAAATTATAATTAATTTGTGCTTTTTGGGTTGAAGCATCTGCTGGCAAAAATCAAGTAGTACAAGTAAAGATTTCGTCAGACATGATAAAAAAAAATATTTTACTAATTAAACATTTAAGAGCCTATTATATTTTTAATTGATTGTTAAGTAAAATAATTAATTGCAATATTAAAATCGTATGCTTTTGCGTTGAAACACCTGCTGACAAAAATCAAGTAGTACAAGTAAAGATATCGTCAGACGTGACAAAAATAATCTTTAACTAGTAGAACAGAAAATACATTATATTTTTATGTATAATTATAATTAAGAAAGGAAATTAGTTTTTCATTATTTTTGTGTCAAAACATCTATTGAAAAAAATCGAGTGGTACAAGTAAAGATGTTGTCAGACATAATAAAAATATTTTTCACTATAGTAAAACAGAAACACTGACTACATTATTTAATTTATTAGGAAAGAAAAATATAATTGAAATCCTATGTATTTTTTGAGTTGAAACGTAACTGCTGACAAAAATCAAGTAGTACAAGTAAAGACTATGTTAGACATGATTAAAAAAAAAACTCTGTTACTACTAAAATATATAAACGCTGGTTATAATTATTAAAAATATATTTTAATTAATTTAGGAGATGAGGAAAATTATTCCAATTAAAATCGTAACCTTTTTGTGTTGTGAAACATATCTTTTGACAAAACTCAAGTAGTACAAGTAAATATTCTGACTGACATGATTTAAAAATTCTTTAGTTAATAGAACATAATATATTTTTTTCATTAATTACGAAAGAAAATTAATTGTAAATTAAATTGTGTCAATACTTTTCGTGTCGAACAATTTGACAGCAAAAATCAAGTAGTACAAGTCAATATTTTGTCAGGCATAATGAAAAAAGTACATAATAAACACTAGCTATTTTCAGATTAAGTGGAAAAGAAAATTATAACTCAAATCATATAATATATGCATTCGTGTGTTAAAATATAGGATGGCAGAAATCAAGTAGTACAAGTAAAGATTACGTCAGACGTGATTAAAAAATCCACTTGTCAAATATAAATAAATAATAGTAATAAATAAATAGTTTATTATACTTAAATAGTAGTATAATCGCAGAATAAATGATTAATTAATTAGAAACGGAAATTAATTGTAATTAAAGTCTGCTTTCTCTATTGTGTTATAATTGATTCTGGAGATAATGAAAAGCAGACAGACACTTGAAATTTCGTGAGAAAATCCCTAATTATTAAGTTCTCGTTGAAATATAATTACACTTTCGTACATATATGATTGTGTTAATCTGTCAAATTACTCAAATTTCCCGTTTTCATTCTCATGGGCAAACATCAATATCCTCGAATAGTGTCAATGTCGTTCAATTGCATTTCAATTAAAATAATTTTCTACTCACTCTAAAATTGCCAAAAAAAAAAAAAATTATTTTACTAATAATAAAAATTCTAATAACTATGTTTATTGAGAATTAAACAATTTAATTTTCTTTAAATTTCTTTTTCCCTTGTTCTCGTTACATCGAGTTTTTTCCTCTCTAAAGGAAAAATTAAAATTTAGTTTATTTATCGTACAAAAATAAATGGACAAATGGTCAGTTTCAGTGTTGCATTCTATTTTTACTTTTTATTAAACAAATATTTTTAAAACATTGATAAACATTACAAAAAATTCAAAAAAAAAAATATTTTTAAAACATTGATAAACATTAGAAAAAATTCAAAAAAAAATATATTTTTAGAAAATTGATAAATATTAAAAAAATATTTTTAAAAAATTAATGAATATAAAAAAATATTTTTTAAAAATTGATAAATATATGAAAATATTTTTGAAATCTATTTTTAAAAAATTGATAAATATAGAAAAATATTTAAAACTTTAGTTAATATTGAGGTTGAATATTAAGTAGATGCGTAAAAATAGTCAAATTATCTAAAGCTCCCCAGGCGATTTCGTTTTACATCGTATGACCTAAACTTTGATACGATATCGAATCTTTAGTTTTAACTTGAACCTTTATACCTCTCATTATCTATCGATATTAAACATTATTCACTGAATTTTACACACATGGCTGCAGGGCATTAGTAAATTACTAATTTATCTGTAAACCTATAATTATAAAACAATTTTTTCAACAAACAAAAATTCCCAAAACATACAAAAAAGCAATTAAAATAATAATAATTTTTTTTGGTCCATAAATTATAAACATTCAGATAAAGGACATTTTTTGTATTTCAATTTGTATTTTTTTTAAAAGAAAAATTATTTTTTATATTAAAAAAACTTCACACAATAACTATTCTAAAATTCAATTGTTATCTAAAATTTTAAATGAAATTCATTTTTTAATAAATTTTTATCAGAAAATTTTTCCAGAATTAAATTATTTACATACAAAAATAAATAATTTATTCAAGAATTGAATATTTTTTAAAATTGAATTTATATGAAGAATTTTATCAAAATTTTTAAAAATAATTGAATTCTTTCGGTGAATGTAAAAAAACAATTTAAGAATAAATGCAATTTTCTATCATCATATTTAAAATATTGTATAAAGAATAATTGAAATTCTGCGATAAATTTTGTTATTTAGGAAAATAATTGAATTCTTGCAACGAATTTTATTAACAATTTTTTTAAAGCATTGAATTCCTGTAAAGAATTTTATTTTTAAAAATAATTGAATTCCGGAGAAAAATATTAATATTCATGAAAATAATTAATTTCTTGTGAAGAACTTTATTCAAATTTTTTTAAATAACTGAATTTCTCAGAATTTCTAAAAAAATTTTGAAAATAATTAAATTCCATTGAGAAATTTCATTAAAAAATTAAAAATAATTGAAATCTGACAAAAGAATTAAAAAAAAATTCTTTTTTAAATAATTAAATTCCTGTGAAAATGTTTATTTTTAAAAAGAATTGAATTCTTGGGAAGAATTTTATTAAAATTTCTTAAATAATTGAATTGCTTTGAAGACTTTTACTCTTTATGAAAATAATTGAATTCTTTCGGAGATTCTTACAAACATTTTTGACAATAATTGTATTCCTAGGAAGAATGTTATATTCTACGAAAATAATTTTATTCAACGACCTTATTATAATATACGACCTTATTATAATTTTTCAAATTTAAGAAGCATTTTATCAAAAATTTTTTAAATAATTGAATTCTCCAGAAAAATTTTATTATTTAAAAAATAATTTTTTTCTATCGAAGAATTTTATTCGAATTTTTTTTAAATAATTGAATTCCCATAAAAAAATGTATTATTTGTAAAAATAATTGAATTTTCAAAAAGAATTGTATTAAAAATAATTGAATTCTGGCAACGAATTTTATTAAAAAATTTTTTAATGAATTCAATCCCTTTAAAGAATTTTATTTGTAAAAATAATTGAATTCCGGAGAAAAATATTAATATTCATGAAAATAATTAATTTCTTGTGAAGAATTTTATTCAAATTTTATTTAATAATTCAATTCTCAAGAAAAATTTTATTATTTATAAAAATAATTGATTTATAGCAAGGAATTTTATTCAAATTTTTTTTAAAGAATTGAATTCCCATTAAAAAATGTATTATTTGTGAAAATAATTGAATTTTCAAAAAGAATTGTATTAAAAATAATTGAATTCTGGCAACGAATTTTATTAAAAAATTTTTTAATGAATTCAATCCCTTTAAAGAATTTTATTTGTAAAAATAATTGAATTCCGGAGAAAAATATTAATATTCATGAAAATAATTAATTTCTTGTGAAGAATTTTATTCAAATTTTATTTAATAATTCTATTTTCAAGAAAAATTTTATTATTTATAAAAATAATTGATTTATAGCAAGGAATTTTATTCAAATTTTTTTTAAAGAATTGAATTCCCATAAAAAAATGTATTATTTGTGAAAATAATTGAATTCTCAAGAAGAATTGTATTCAATATAATTGAATTGTATAGGAAAATTTTATTGAATCAAATATAT